TACATTTACACAATGGATTACTACTCAGCAGGAAAAAACCAATGGAATATTGAAATTTGCAGGCAAATGGATGACACTAGAAGAAACCAACCTGAGTGAGGTAATCCAGTCACAAAAAGACAAGCATGGTATGTACTCACCCATATATGGATTTTAGACATGGAGGAGGGCATTGCCAGCCCACAATCCCACCGCCAGAGAGTCTGTGGTGCAGGGAGGACCCTAAGAGAGATATACATGGTAACCCGGAGAAGGGTTAGGGGATGTGATCTCTTAATTGGATTGGGGGGGGAAGGGGAGGGTAGAAGGAGATACAAGGAAGAGAAGGAGAAAAGAGGAGGGGAGAGGAGGACATCGGAAAGCAGGAAGGTTGAATCAGGGTAAGAATAGAGGAGAAAAGTATGGGAGATACCATAAAAGAGGGAGCCATTATAAGTTGGAGGAGAGATCTGGCACTAGTGAGATCTTCTGACATTAAGGCTATCTTAAATGCCCTCCCATGATAATGGGAATGATGACTACCTTATATGCCATCCTAGAACTCTCATCCAGTGGCTGATGGAGGCAGAGGAAGACACCCACAGCTGTGAACCGAATTGAACTCCTGGAACCCAGTTGCAAAGAAGAGTGATGACCAAAGGAATCAAGATCGGGTTGGTGAAACCCACAGAGGCAGCTGACCTAAACAAAGGGGAACACATGGACCCCAGTCTGATGACTTAGGGGCCAGTATGGGACTGATCCAGACACCCTCCCCCTGAACCTGGGTGACAGAGAGGGGGCCTTGGCAATCTGTGGGTCCTTGAAAAGTGGAGCAGTATTTATTCCTGGCATATAGAAGGACTCTGGGAACCCATACCATGTGGAGGGATGCTCTCTCAGCCTAGAAGCATGGGGAAGAACATGGGCCCTTCCCAGGATGATGTGACGGACTCTGAAAATCCCTCATGAAGGCCCTTGCCCTCCCTAGGGAACAGAGGGGGGACGGAGTGGGGGTGAGGGTTTGGGAGGATTAGGGGGTAGGGGTGGAGGGGAGGGAGAGGGAACTGAATGTGACATGCATAAAAAGTTAATTAAAAAAGATAAAAATACATTCAACAACATAAAGAGCAACATGGCAACATCAGAACCTAGTAGTCCTACAACAGTAAGACCTGAACATCCTAACATAGAAGAAGCAGAAGAAAATGACCTTAAAATAACTTTATGACGATAGTAGAGGCCCTTAAAGAAGAAATGAAAAAAAATTCCCTTAAAGAAATTAAGGAAAAGATAAACAAAATTGGAAGAAACCAATAAATTCCTTAGAAATCAAGAAAACCAAGAAAAAGCAATTAAACAGGTGAAGGACACAGCAAAAGAATTGAAAAATGAAATAGATGCAATAAAAGAAACACAAATCAAGGGAATACTGGAAATGGAAAATCTGGGTAAATGAATGGGAATTACAGGTGAAAGCATAACCAACAAATGCAAGAGATGGAAGAAAGAATCTCTGACATTGACGATATGATAGAAAAAAATAGATTCATTTACCAGAGAAAAACTAAAGCCAACAAAGACAACACAAAATGTTTAGGAAATTTGGGACACCATGAAAAGATCAAACCTAAGAACAACAGGGATTGAAGAAGGACAAGAGTATCAGCTCAAATACACAGAAAATACTTTCCCAACCTAAAGAAGGAAATGCCTATGAAGATATAAGAAGCTTACAGAACACCAAATAGGCTAAACCAAAAAAAAGTCCTCTCACACATAATAACCAAACCACTAAACATACAGAATAAAGAAAGAATATTAATAGCTGCAAAGGAAAAAGGAAAAAGGCAGATCCATCAGAATAACACTCGACTTCTCAATGGAGATTCTGAAAGCCAGAAGATACTGGACAGACATGTGCAGACACTAAGGAATCACAGATGCCAGCCTAGACTCCTATACCCAGCTAAACCTCCAATCACCATAGACAGAGAAAGCAAGGTATTCCACGACAAAACTGGATTTAAACAATACCTATGCACAAATCCAACACTACAGAAAGCACTAAAAGTAAAACTCCAACCCAGGGAAGTTAGCTATACCTGCAAAAACACAGCTAATAGATGAGCAAATCCCAAAGAAGGGAAAAACACACACACTTCCACCACCATGAATAAAACAGCAACAACAACAACAAAACAAAAATAACAGGAATTGACAATCACTGGTCATTGATATCCATGGACTCAATTCACCTATAAAAAGACAAGCTAACAGAATATATATGAAAACAGGAGCCAACCCTTTGCTGTGTATTTTAGGCATGCATCTGTCATGCCTGCTAGGTATCACTTCCAGAATGTCTGAAGTCAGCAAGTATGAAGTTGTACTTGAGAATTTACAACTAACAAACCCCAGTAATCTTTACCCAATTGGTCCACACTAAAATGGACCATGGTACACCCAAGTCTCATTTGTGTCCTGTCTTTCCCATATTTCAAAGGGCTATGGTAGCACACAAGAATATCATAAAAAGTACCCCAATCCAGACAGTCTAGCTTTGAGGCCAATATCCCTTGTGGACTCCTTCCTCTTTAGTATTCCAGACTCTGTAAGTAATCACAAAACTGAGGGATGAGAATGTCATGGAGGCAGGGTCACTTTGTCATTTGCCCCCTTTCCTATCCCAACACCAAGCAGGCAGTCAGCCTATACCCTTGCTAAGCCTTATGGAACATTTATCTTGTGACTAGTCTGTGGCCTGACTGCTTTCCAGAGTCAGCATCTTGGTAAGATTATGTGTACGAGAGGGGCTGAGGATGTAGTTCAGTTGGAACCTAGCATGCACAAGGCTCTGGATGGCATTCCTCAGCTTCATGTAAACCCAGAAGTTGAGGGCCACATGCATAGTGCCAGTACTCAGGAGGCAGAGGCAAGAGTATATACCAGTTCATCAGTTAGCTAGTGAGTTCAAGACCAGTGTAAGCTACACAAGACAGACAGATGGACAGACAGCTGGGTGGATCGGAGAAGAGTGAGTTGGGTGGAAGGAGAGAGAGGGGGAGGAGGAAGGAAAGATGGAAGGAAAAAAGACAAAAAGAAAGAAGGAAGGAAAGAAAGGAAAAGAAATTGTGAATGGGGACAAAACCACAAATGGCAGAAAAGCAAGAGAGATTTCTGCTTATAACACATTAAGGAACTGCGGGGAGCCACAGGAAAATAACGTTGTTCCACAGAGGGATGTTGGACCCCAGATATCAGGGAGAGATACTCACCTCACTCTCCTAGCTCAGGAACTGCAGATAGGCCCACTTCCAAGGGCCCATGCAGACTTAGATAATGAGGGTAGCTGGGAAAATTATACCAGATTGAAGGCCTCACCCTCAGAGGTGCCTCCAATTCCTGGTAATCATCACAGCAGGATCAGCATTCCAATAGGGAGTGAGGTTGAACTTCACTTTACTCCGTTGAGATGGAAGGAAAGTAAACAAATCTCTGAAATACAAGCTCCACAGAACACACACCAGGCCGGTGCACACTCCATTACCAATCAACACCAGAAAAACTATGCCAAAGTGGATCCCTGTTAGCTGGGCAGGGTCTTCAGGGACCTCAGGGACACTTGTAGTTCAGACTGAAGGTGGCTCTACCTAGCCTACCAGGCCCAGCTCCACCATGGCTACTCCATGCCTTGCTGCCACTGACCCAGGGGAACAGAAAGCCTGCAAATCCTACACATCGTGGAAGAGACTGGGAAGTGTGACTTCCTACACACCAGTTCTATTTAAAACCCAATTAGTCCTTCCATGGAAGGACCATCCATACAGAGTGCTGTGGTAGCCCTGATCTTCATCACTTCTGACAGGAGAGGTACTTGGGATGGGGACAGTTCAGGGCTGAGGGCTGGAGAGTGTAGCCAAAACTCCCCTAAATACTTCAAGACGACCTAGTGATCTTCCAGGTAGTCTGGTGAAAAGCTAGGAAAACACCTATGATCCTCCATGGAGGAAACAGCTGGAGGGTCAGGAAAGTCCTGCCTGTATTTTCATGAGACCACCTTCCTGGTCTTTGGCCCCATTAGTTTGTGTAACTTGAGACTAAGAAAAGGAAGAGTGGTCACTCAAATCCATTCATGAATAACTCTTTCATGTTGCCCCCCAAACTAACTGAAAAAATGGACCCAAATCCATTCATGAATAACTCTTTCATGTTGCCCCCCAAACTAACTGAAAAAATGGACCCAAACTATTCTTTCTATTGGTTTTACCCAGGACCACATTATATGCAAGACAGAGAAAACAGTCCTGACCTCATTTGAATCCCAAATTATGCTCCTTCTTTGCTAAACTAACCAAGAATTATGATATGTACCAGTCACTATCCAATATAGTTCCAACTCCTAGCAAACCCCAAGCAATCAATAACTTTGTTTTATGAATTACTCAAAATTGATCAAATTTACTATTAACACTATAGCTCTTTAAATTCTTCCTTAATTATCAGATGGGCAGTGGTGTTCATGCCTTTAATCCCAGAACTCAGGAGGCAGAGGCAGGTGGATCTCTGTGATTTCGAGGCCAGCCTGGTCTACATAGTGAGTTCCAGGACAGCCAAGGCTACATAGAGAAACCCTTTCTCAAAAAAAACTAAATCAAAAATTTTTCCTTAATTATGAAATTAATCCTTCCATAAAGGCAGAAATTAAATTTTAACAAGACTATTTTGTCCGCCGGTGTTGCTCAAATAAAAGTCTCTAAATGACCCCCCACTACCTTACAGAAATGGATCTTGATATTCTTTCAATAAAGTTTCTCCAAAGGTTATATTTCACACAGGACAAAGGGCATCATGATCCACGCCGTGTCTGAAATTATGTCGTCTACTGTCACCTACCAACCTTACCCAAAGGGATTATAGTGTGTATACCGGGTAGTGTAATTGTAGTTTACACACACACACCGATTTATCAGTAACCTTTCCAAGGACTAATGAATGAAATTCAACAAACTTGTGACATCCTCTAAAATTTTACATTGGCCTTTGAATCCCTTTGAACTCTGCAATGTCAGCGGATTAAGTTCTAACAAAATCTGTATGCTTTCTTCTCCTCAGTTCCTCATGTTGCTTGTAGCAGCAGCTAGCTAAGGTCTTACTGAGGCGGTGGCTGCTGCTGAAGGGCGTTTCATGAAGATTCACACACCGGAAGCTGGGAATTCTTCAGCTTCATTCACAGTTTCTAGAACTTAGATACACAAAGAATAGCACCCGTGAATGTTACAAAAACCAATGAAAGAAACAGCAATAACATTCTCAAAGATAAAGCAACATACCTGGAGCATGCTGCATCTAATATTTTAAAAACATATCTATGCCTGCAGAAGATCTGATTTTATGCAAGAAGGAAGTTAAAGAGGGTACAGAAAAAGAAAAGAGCATGTTCCGTAACATCAGTTTCTTCTGAGTGGTAACTAAATGGATAGCACTCAACTACCGTTCACTGGTAAATGTACCTGCAAATGGAAATGTTTTCCTTTTAAAACTAAATTGACATATTCAGTAGAATTTTATCCTTCTCAAAACAATACAAATTATATATACACATACACATGTATAATTGAATCTGGAGAAAGAGATTCACACATGCAATTAGATTTACTATGCTAAAAAGGGTAATTGCAGATTAAGGGTATAGCTCAGTGGTAGAGTACTGTGCCAGCATGCATGAGACCATGGGTTGGATCCCCTAGCACAGGAAGCAAAGAAGCCCAGAGGTTATTTCGTGGTGGTAGCATAGTGAAAAGTTTTACTTGATGAGTTTTCAAATAGTATATGAAGTAAATAAAATAACAAATCACATATATTAGGAAAGGGCCCTCAAGAAATGATTTCTTTTTGAAACACATCTCCATTCTTTTTTTTCCCTTCCTAAATCCAGTGAGGAGTTTGTGTTGCGCCAAAGCTTCCCAGCTTCCCTGATTATATCTAGATTAGTTTTTGTCCCTGAGTTTGACCCTGCAAGCCCCGGCACAGGGATCCCACTGTAGTCAACTTCAGGCAAGGGAGCTAATGGATGGAGTTCCTCCTTCCCCTTCTGAGAGTACTCTGGATGAGGGAGGAGATGTCATTGGCAATAATGCAGAGGACATTGGCAGAGGGGGTTATGGGGCCTATCTCAAGGACTAGGGGACACCGGCATACCTGTTATGGATGACATCGGGGCTTTCTTCCGGGACACGGCATATTGCTCATTCTGCAAGTCTGTGTCAAGAGCCTCTCTATGTTCTTTGACAGTTAGATGCCATGGCAGAGTTCCTGGATACTCAGTATCTTGTGACTCAGCGAGGAGTTTCTGTGACAGCTCGAACTCAATCAGCCTCTTATGCAGCATACCACACTCGTGTATGACTTGCTTCAGGTTGTCTCTTGCACTGCGAAGCTCAGAGACCACTTCATCACGCTCCTCACGCAGCCGTTGTAAGTCTGTGGCCAAAGTCCAGGTCGCTGCCTCATGCTCTTCTACCTGGTCGTTCAGGTGCTGGACACGTCGCGACTGCTTTTCTCGTTGCCTGGTAGCCACCCTCACGCCCAGGGCCAGAGCGCTCCATGCGCAGGCCCTCTTGATGGTGCGTGGTACGTGGGTATCGGCTATGACATACCTCAGACAATCTTCTATATCCTTCCATGGCCGTGAACGGAAAGTCAGGTAGAAGGCAGGACCACCGCCATTCCTTATCACCTCTTCATTGATGAACACAACCACTTCGCAGTGGCGGAAACCATTCTTGGGGTCCGCAATGTCCACAGCCATGGCTGAACCTGTTCTAAGTAGTGGACTGCAATGGGCTCGCCCTTCACTTTGGTGCCCTGTCCAGTCCTGGGTCCTACCTCCTACTTCTTTCCTCTCCTCACCTTGACTGAATTCCTGAAGCCCCTCACACCAACTCCTTCTACGCAAGGGATTAACACAGCGGGGACGTCATAGACATGGGCTGTGAGACATGCAGCACTGCCCGCTGGGACCAAAATGTAGTGGCACAGATAACTGGATCATCTGGTAAGCTGTGTGTCTGTTCTGTAAGGTAGGCCATGGGAGTACAACAGTCCTGGAGACTGCAGTGAGGCCACAGTTTCCTCAGAGTTTCTGAAAGGTACAGCAGCCTATCTGGCATGGATTCTTTCTCTCTTGCTCTTCCTTCTTTATTCTCCCCTTCTTTCTTTACCTCCTTCCTCTTCCCAAACAGTCATGACTGGCTCTTCCCAACTGCCTTCCCAGTGCTTCCTCCTTCTCTGGATGCTTTTCCTCCTCTTTCCAAATGGTTCGTTCACCTTTCTGCTTTCATGTGACATGCATTCCATTACGCTCTCTCCCCTTAAGATCACCAGTGATTCCCTACACACACACACACACACACACACACACACACACACACACACACACACACACCTTTAAATATAAGTTCTACAGATGAGAGAAGACCTGTGCTATTTGTCTTACTAACTTTCTTATTTTTTGTAATGGTTTCCAATTTAATCCATGTTCTTATAAAAGTTGAAATTTCATTTTTTCCTTCTGGTTGAATAAAATTCCAATGTGTTTAAGTGCCACACTTTATTTACTTGTTTTTATTTGCATTTACTTTATCTGTTGAAAGAAATGTAGACTAGTTGCATTTCTTACCTATTGTGACTAGAACACCACGCATCTTTATGATATGTTGGTTTAGAATCCTTGAAGCGTATCCCCAAGAGTGATATAGCTAGGTCATGTGGCAGTCCCATTTTCTGTCTTTTTTTTGGTTTTTATGAGACAGGGTTTCTCTGTATTGTTTCGGAGGCTATCGGTCCAGCCTGGCCTCGAACTCACAGAGATCTGCCTGCCTCTGCCTCCCGAGTGCTGGGATTAAAGGTGTGAGCCACCACCGCCCGGCGCATTTTCTGTCTTTTGAGGAACTTGCACACTGATTTCCATAGTAGCCTCACAAATTTACATACCCACCAACAGTGTATAAATGTCCCTCTTATTCCACATCCCTGCCAGCAATTGTTGTCATTAGTTTTCTTGATGAGAGCCATTCTGAGTGAGTGAGAATGAATCTCAAAGCAATTTTAAATTACATTTTCATGATGACAAATGATGTTGAGATTTTTTCCAAGTATTTATTGTCCATTTGCATTTTTCTTTTGAGAGCTGTCTGTTCAGTTCATCAGCACTTATTCTGATTGGATGATTTGTTTTTGCTGTTTAATATTGTGACTCTATATACTGGAAACATTAATCATCTGTCTGGTATACAGTAGGTTAAGTTTTTTCCCTTCCATTCAGTAGGTCATCTCTTTGCAGTGATTATTCTCCATGATGTGGAGACCAGAGGTCAAGAATATGTTGGCTTTTATTTGGGTTCCAGGGATACAAACTCAGGTTGTTGGTCTTGCGATACAAGTGCTTTTCCCCACTGATTCATCTCTCTGGCCCCCTCTGCGACATAGTTTGAGATCAGGTATGGTGGTTCCTTCAGCATCACTCATTGTACTTAGGATTGCTTTGATGGTGTAGGTTCTTTCTTTGGTCCCATATGAATTGTTTTCATTCATTCTTTAAAGGATATCACTGATATTTTGATAGAGATTGCATTGAATCTTGAGATTGCTTTCAGTAAATTATGTCAGTTCATGAGCATGGGAGGTCTTATCTTCTAATGTCTTAAGTTTATTTGTTCATTGTGTTGAAGTTTTCATTATAGAGGGTTTTTTAACCTCTTTAGCTAGGTTTATTGCTAGGTATTTATTTTTAAGCTATTGTGAATGGCATTTCCCCCATTATTTATTTCTTGGCAAGTTTATCATTGTATGGTGCATGTTAATTTGTATTCTGTTACTTAGATGAATGGTTTATCAGTCCTAAGAGTTTTCTGATAGGGGTTTAAGATCGTTTACAACTAGGATCGTGCCATCTGAAACTAAAGATAGTTTGACTTCTTCTATTCCTATTTCTATAGCTTTTATTTCTTTCTCTTATTACATTGTTCCAGCTAAGACATCAAGCACTATATTGAATAAAAAAGGAGATAGTGCACACTTTGTCTTATTTCAGATTTTGGAGACAACAATCACAGTTTTGTCGTCATTTAGTATATTGTCAGTCATAGGTTTGTCACATATTATTGCCCCTATTTTACTGAGGTGTATTCCATCTATTTCTAGTTTCTTTGGGGACTTTATCATGAGAGAAGGGATGTTGAGTTTTCTTGAAGATATTTGGCATATCTGATAAGATAATAACATAGTTTTGGTTCTTAATTCTGTTTGGGTGCTATATTACACTTCTTTTTTTGCTTTTGTTGAATCAAACTTGTATCTCTAGAATTGAAACTGTTCAGCCATGGTGTGTGATCTTCTTAATGTGTTCTGGAATACAGATCATAAGATATTTGTTGAGAATCTTTGCATCTATGTTCACCATGGAAATTGGTCAGTACTTTGTTGTGTTCTTACTCAGTTTAGTATCAGGGTGATTTTGGTTTTTCAGAACAATTTTTGTAGTTTCCATTGACTTCATATTTGATAGAACAGTTTGAGAAACATTGGTATTGCCTTTCTAAAACTTTGAAAGAATTGGGCAGTGAATCCTGTTTTTGTTTTGGACCTGTTTAAGTTGTTTAAATCATCATCATTTAATTTGGTACATCATAGGTGTATAGGAATTTGTCCATTTTATCTACTCTAGATATTTGGAATAGAAAATTTCCATGTATTTCTCAATGAGTTTCTGGATTTCACAGGAGTCTAACAACTTCCTTTTCTTCTGCAATGTCATTAATTCAGATTTTGGGGGTGTTGATTTGGTTATGGGTCTCTCAATCTTTTTTTCTCCTAAGAAACAATTTTTTTGTTTGATCGAGCCTATGTATTTTTCCTTGTCTCTATTTTATTAATTTCTATGTTGATCTTTATTACTTTTTGCTGTCTACTGCTTTGGGGTTTGGATTATACTCATTTTTCTTAGACCCTAGAGTACATTAATAAGATATTTAAGATATCTCTATTTTTTTCACTTTGAAATCATTTTATTTCCCAAGCTCATAGTCAAAGAAAATATTCTAGGGAAACATATGTGACTACTGGATACAATTTTGAAACTACTGCTTTTTAAACACAATCTACTACTACTATATACTTTAATATAAATATTTATTAGTTATAATTGTTTTTACATATGCATATATAAAACCTACTGAGTCCACTTATTGTTGCCCAAAAGCACACAAGTATAGAAGGGTATGTACAAGCTACCAGGGGCCACACCTCTGAAGAAAACTGACCTTTCTCTCCTCTGACAGCCATGGATTTCCCGTAGCATCTTAACTAAGAGCTAGACCTTTTGACTCACTCCCCTTTCCATCATGCTGTAATATTGACTTGATTGTTCTTGTGCAGATCTTGTGTAGACAACCACAGCTGCTCATGAGTGCAACTGCCTGTCATGTTCAGAAGACAGTTTTGAAGCTACCCTCCACAAGCTCTAGATCTTACAGTCTTTCTGCCCCATCTTCTGTCATGTTCCCTGAGCCTTATGGGAAGGGGCTATGAAATAGATGCCCTATTTAGGGATGAGTACTCCGTAGTCTCTTATTCCCTGTACTTTGATTATTTGTGCTCTCCATGTTAATTTCCACCACTGCAAAAAGAGACTTCTTTGATAAGGAGTGTGAGCTGGGCTAATCTATGGGTACAAGGGTAAGTATTTAGAAGGCAGTGAGATACTATGACAGTTTAGCAGAACGATAGTATTAGATTCTCTGATAGGCTCTACCACCCCTCTAATCATGGACTGTTTTGTTTTTTGCCAAATTTACCATATCAAGCATGAGGTACTCCTGTTGAGCATGCCTTAAATCCAGCTGTCAGCCATTGACTACTCCTGCTGAAAATAGCCATGCCATACTTACACCAATGGCACATCTTTCCAGGTGAGTTGTTATTGTAGTTCATAGGGGTGACAGCTAGCTAACACTGTGCCTGTTCTCTCTGGGATGCCTACCTAGTACTATGGAAGCTAACAGCAGGTTGGGGGAGACTGCTAGTTCAGTGTCAGCTTGATTTCTCCAAGTCCTGTGACCAGTCTGAGCTGTATTCACTAATAGGGCCATACTGCCAAGTTCTGGTGGACAACCAAGTATGATGGCATTGGCCTGCACTGGGGGGCTCTCCCCCCACTCTCTGGTTTTTTAATATAAGCACTCATAACTAAAACATTCCTCTCAGAGCAGCCATAGCTGTGCACCAAGGGTTCTAGTAAATTGTATTTAATTTTCTTCAGTTTTCTAAGTTAGAATTTTTTGAAATGGCATTTCTTTAGTTTGAGTGTATGTGTGTTTTTGCACACATGTGTACAAGTGTGGAGGTCAGAGGAAAATTTTTGAGAGTTGACCTTTCCTTTTGTCATGTGGGCTCCAGGATCAAAATCAGGTTGTTAGGCTTGACAACAAACACCACTAACACTTGAGCCTTCTCAGTGGCCTAATTTTTAAAATTAGATTTTTTGTGTATGTGTGTTTGGGTGTAGGGGGTATATGTATGTTCACATGCATGTGTGCACACACACAATTGCATGTACACATATGTGTAAGTACAGTGCACATATGTTGAGGTCAATATAAAATTTATGGATGTTGTTCTATGTGGGTTTCAGGAATTGAACTCTAATGGTCAGATTTGGCGTAAGACACCTTTACCTGCTGAGCCATCTTGCTGACCCTTTTATAGCCTCTTGATGGATTATTCCCTGTGAACCCTAATCTTGGCTGTCAACTTGACTATATAATTAAGCAAAATCCAAGCACCTAGGCATGTCTGTGATGGGTTTTCTTGATTGGATCAGTTGAAGTTGGAAGATGCACCCTA